TTTTAAATCAGAAAAACAGTGGGGAAATATCATGAAACAAGAGGATTTTAGTTGTAAAATGTTGTCTGTTTGATAAACATTAGTGCTCCTGGGAAAACCTTGAGGATGGGATGATCATAGTACCATTTATCTGATCTTTTATGTTGTCATCTAGTGGACTTGGCACTTTGTAGTTCAATCCATTTGTTGATTTCATTCTACTTCTATTTGGACTTAAGCATTGATTATACATTTTAAGCATATATTATAAAACATTTTTCAATTATTTAAAATAAATCAAAATAATCATGTAAATCCACACTGCATTTTACTAACATTCAATAGGTAATTTTAATTTTTCATTGAACAAATAACTTAAAAATTTAATAGTACCAAGTGGTGGGATTGGTGGAATCTAGTCATGGCACTTTTCTAGTAAAATCAACTTTATATAGCTATTTTTCATCATACAAAAACTTATAATATATGAAATAGCAGTAACTTTTAACAAGCTTTTTATTGGTAATATTTATTTTCAAATTTAAATCAATGCTTATCTTTTTATCTTAAGATTATCATTTTTGATAACATTTCTTTTACTTCATATTTAAGTTCTTAAAGTATTTAAAACAAAATATAGACTTATGATACATGAAATTGCATTAGAATTTTACAAAGAATTCAAAAGTAATATTAGTTTTTTAATATCTTTAATAGTTAAAAAGCTATTTAAGAAAAGCAAAAAAGTAAAAAAACTTTCAAGGAAAAGAATATTTTTTAAAACTTTTTTTACTAAACAAAAGCTTATAGTACATTAAATTATATTAGAATTTTTCAATAAATCCACTGACATAATTAGATTTTTGATAACTTTTATAATTTTAAGATTATATTAATTAATGATTAGAAATTCAAAGAAAACATAAATAATAAATTATGAAATTTAGATAATTTTACTTGTTTTTAAAAACATTCCATTTTGTAGTCAATTTTATGGAAAGTATTGTGACATATTCATGAAAATTTCATCAAAATTGTATACTTTTTCTAGAAAAATATAAAAATGTTAGAAATTGGCCTAAAAGAGGCAAAAATTTAACAGGTTTTGTAAAAAAAACAGTATATTCAACAAATTTTTTATTCATACTTTTTTGGTGTAGGAATGTCACAATACTATCTACTTGAGGATATACAGGGTGTTGAAAATGTCTGGAACCAACATTATATCTGGTGAGTGGTTAAAGAAAAACAAATGATATTTTGTGTACGGATATACTATGGTTTTATCTATCTTTTGGTGCCTTATGAAAATTTTTACCACTTATAGGGAACGTCCTGTGGAGGATGCAGTAAAAAGTTTAAATGGAAGCCTATGGTAAATGATACATCATTTTAAAGGCCATTTTTTTCTGAGTAAGGAGCCACAAGTTTCATCTCAAAAGGACCACCCTAGCAAAAATGGCGACTGTTTGAAATTGAAATAACCACTTATAGGGAACGTTCTGTGGAGGATGCAGTAAAAAGTTTTCATTGAAGCCTATGGTAAATGATACATCATTTTAAAGGCCATTTTTTTCTTAGTAAGGAGCCACAAGTTTCATCTCAAAAGGACCACCCTAGCGAAAATGGCGACTGTTTGAAATTTAAAAATTCCGTTCCCTATAAGTGGTTTTTTAAATTTCAAACAGTCGCCATTTTTGCTAGGGTGGTCCTTTTGAGATGAAACTTGTGGCTCCTTACTCAGAAAAAAATGGCCTTTAAAATGATGTATCATTTACCATAGGCTTCCATTAAAACTTTTTACTGCATCCTCCACAGGACGTTCCCTATAAGTGGTAAAAATTTTCATAAGGCACTAAAAGATAGGTAAAACCATAGTATATCCGTACACAAAATATCAGTTGTTTTTCTTTAACCACTCACGAGATATAATGTTGGTTCCAGACATTTTCAACACCCTGTATATACGTCCGTGAACAATTTGAGTAATTTTTGTCAGATTTTGATGAAATATGGTTTAAAGGTGTAAAGCGGGATAAACTTGAATGAGTTCGCGAACCAGCATGATCGGACAATGGGAACGGGGCTTTACGGGGGTTTTATGGGGTAAAAATTGGTTTTTCTCACTTTTGACCCTCAAAACACAAAATTTCCCAATTTCTCTTTAGACTTTTTTAAAGAGCTTAAAAAACAAATAATTTAGTATATAAAAGTATTTTTGTTCGGTTATTAGTAACGGAGAAAATTTAAAATTTCTATGTTATTCATATGGAGAATATTGTCAAATGTTGTAGTTTGCTTGTTTATGGATATAATTTGATCAAACTTGGCAAATTTATTTATTTTGTACTAAGCTATCAATATTTTACTAAAAAACACACTTTATTAGTTTCATTGTAGCAGCAAACCTAGGTACTCGTTAAACCTAATGTTATTAAAATATATTTAATTGAAAATCAATTCAGACAAATGGAAATTTGCTTAATCGGCAGGTTTGCTGTGGCGGGGATATTTTATAATCAAATCTAAGTTTAAACATCGATGGTAGGGCCTACATGTGATGTTTTTTTTTAGTTTCTTCAGGCAATGTTTGTAACTGTTTGTACGTTTCAATAATCAGTGGTAAGTTGGTAAATGACGTATGCCATGAACTACAGAATGGGTAAAGAGAGCAGTGAGCAGTGACACACGATGTTGGTGTTGCCGTATTACTATAAACCAGCTGTTTCTATGTTATAATTTTTTCTTGTTTTATTCACATTGGTGAATTTTTGAATTAGGTTAGGTTAGTGGTTAGTGTTTTATTAATGAAAGGTCTTAAAAGTTTAGCGCTTATTTTCATTTTTCGTATTTCCTAAATGTGAATTTGTATGAGCTTAGGTAAAGATGTCTGACCAAAATCGAAGCATTAAAAAAAATATATATCTTTTATGTGACTTCAACACCAATAAAATGCTTTATTTGTTTTGCTACAGTACCATGTTACATTGTTACATGCTGTATTCGTCTTTAGCCAATTCACTTAAGGGATACAAATATATTGTAGCTTTTATTTTAAAAAACTAAATTATTATTGAATTAAAATTGAAACCGTTTGAATACTTTTACAGTATTTTGAGACGTGTATCAGTGCTACTTACATCGACCTATGTAGCTTGGTATGTTCTTAGCACTTATCTGAATTAACCCTTTGAGTGCCAACGTCCGGAGAACCGGACGTTTTTAAAACGAGCCAAAAGTGCCGACGTCCGGCCGACCGGACGTTTTTAGAACGAGCCAAAAGTGCCAACGTCCGGCTGACCGGACGTTTCGTAATGATCGAACAGTTGTCATAACAACCGAATGCATACTCGGATTCTTTTAACCCATATATTAACATTGAGTCGAAAGTTACTAGATGCGATACATCGATTTTCGTTGGTCGAAATATCGAAAATTCGATTTTTACGAAATTTTAACCTAAAAATCGCCAGATCGCGCTCGGAATTTTTAGCGCGTCTTTCGGGAAAAATCATCGGCATTTTTTGAGCGTTACTTTTATTTCTCGCCTGGCACTCTAAGGGTTAAAAGACAGAATATCATCAAACTATGCAGTATAGTTGAATTATATTTTTAAAGATTTTGACCAGCATACTAAGGGGTACCAAGGGTACTTATATTGGTAGTAACTAACTAAGTACCAAGTATTGAAATATACATAGCAAACATTGCCATTTGTACTATTAAAATTTACGGGAGTGGACGGTAGGATGGTGGACTCAGAACTTCACGACAGATTTGGTGGTATGGTCTTGACGAGTTTTGGGGGGGGGGGGGGGGAATTTGCGTCATAAGCCTTGGGGGGGATGGGCACCCCTGTTTATAAGATAAACATTTTTACAAAATCTCAATGCTGTATCTCAAACCGTTTAGGAGTTTTTTTGGTAAAAACTCATATATACAGACAGACGGTAAACTAGGCACCACAGAACCATGTTCCTATGGTCAAATGTGTTTGTCTTGACCTAAGCAATATCAATATCGCAATATACATGTGTCCAGAGAGTTACGGGACATAATGTATAGGAAATTTGCTAAAAGTGCATTGCTTAATAATAAGAACTGAACTAGAATATATCTTTTAAACCTTTTACATTATCATTTTCTTATGATTATTTAATGAAATTGATTGATCAGTATTCAAATTTTAATTAGATATGGACATAGCCCTTTAGGGCTACCAGCCGCCTGTACAGGGCCTGTAGTAGTGAGTCGGTGCATGCGTTTTGTGTGTGTGTGTACGTGAGTGTGTGTTGTTTGTGCGTGAGTGTGGGTAGAAGATGTATGAATGGTTTCCAAGTCCCAGTGCTCTTCACAGTATTATTAAATACCCTTAAATACCCTTTTTACAAGTTTTTTTTATCATTTATTCATTATTATTACTTTCTTATTTTTTTTAATAGATTTCTCTCTATCTTTACACTTTTCAGATATTTCCATAATACTTTCGTTATCTGCTGTGGCTTCGTATTAAAATTGTTTTTTTCCTTTTTGGTAAATGTGTAATTAGTATTTAGAGTAACCATTATTATTAAAACGATGTTAGATTGTATAATATGGATGGTCTGATAATAACTCGTTCCCCACGCACAGGCTTCGCCTATGTGGGGAAATTCCATTATTATTAAGAATACTGTTTTTGTAATTTTTGTTTATCATGGAATAAATTATGTTTGATTTTGATTTGATACAAAACTATAATAAATAAAAATAAAAAATAAAAATATAAGTGATATGTTTTTAATTGTTATCCAAAAAAGTTCATAAATCAATCTCAAGTACAAGCACAACAATACAAGTATAAAGAGTGTAGTACTTGTACGATGCATTTGGGGACTAAGGCAATCAATGAGTATAAACATTGACTATATATACCTATAGTCAATATAGTTAATATATACCTACATACTTGTACGTATATATAGTCAATACTATAAATGAGTTTATGAGTTGTTTAAAACAGGTTAAATTATAAACATCGATCTTTAGTCTTTTTATTTTTATTACCCTTTTAAAAAATCACAAATGTATTAGCAACTTTTTACTATTCATGATTTGACAAAACCCCACACACTCATAAGTATGCAATAAAACGCCATAAGATTACAAACAAAATACAACTTTAATACAAACTAGAAAATGGAATGATTCCTACTTCTATTAAAACAGAAAAATAACAAACTTTGTTTGGAACAAAACTAGTTAGTTTCCTAAAATAAATGTAATAATAAAATCATTTAATGCCATAACAAACAAAATAAACTGAGAAAATTAGAACATAAACACAAAACAAAACTAAACCCTCATATTATGTTAACCTTCAAACTATACATGTTTCGATTGTGTTTTTATTCATGAAAAATATGTAAAACTGGCCCAATACTGACAACCATAAATGTTACCATTATAAACAAAAATAGAAAAATAAAAAAAACAGAAAAGGGCCAGCATAAAAATAAAATAAACGTGTATTAAGAATTACAAGATATGTTTATCATATGACTGTTGACACTTTAAAATAGCATACACCTTGACTTTCTGGGTAAGCAAAACTCCTGAATGTGTTTTTAATTGTGTAAAAAAATAAAATAAAGGCAATGATTTTTAAGAAAAAGATACCTAAAAGTAGCATTAACAGAAAAGGAACATTTTCTATAATATCTCTAATTCTAATTTATTTATAATACAGCAAATATCTTATTTCATATAGAATTGTAACCTTGAGGTAAGTATCACAGAAAACATCATGTTTGTAAAATAATTATTTCCAATTATTAGAATTGACCAACAAAATTAAAAAAAAAGTACTAAAAGGACAAACTACTAAAGGATAATTTGGATTTCATTTTCCATGGCAACACCATAGCACTCTTACTCCAGGTAACACTGGAAAATGTGTAGGCAAATATCAATAGTAGGCAAATATCAATATGTTATACAACAATAATATGGTGGTAATAATAACAAAAATAAGTAGTTCGATAATAAATCAACCAGTGCAAAACACAAACAATAGTTAGTACATTATTTTATACAGGGTGTTTGTTAGAAAGTACCAAAAATATAGGAATAGTTTTTACGTCTCAAAACAAAACAAAAACAAGAAAACCTTTTTTCCAAAAGTGACTTGTTAGTGAGATATCCACAATTTCTTGTTTTGTATTTCAAATTCATAAATTACAAACCTATTGAAGATATCTCTATAAAATTTGGTATTTGGTATACAATTTATAACAGTCATAAGCTATTTGGAGAAATATAACCATTGGAGAATACCTTATGGTTTCAAAATAGTGGTAATTTTTATTTTTATAACCAAAACTACTAAATATACCAAGAACACCTTTATTTAGCATTGAAAATTTCCTATCAAACAGCAAGTTCAAAGTAATAGATTCATAACAAGTTGTAGAGACCAGGCAAAATAAGGCCAAGCAGTCAGGGTTTTGCATCATTTTACTCATACAAGTTGTGATTTTACAGCTAATTATTATTGAATATTTTTTAACTTGTTGTTGTTTGGTAGTAAAATTTCAAAGCTAAATAAAAGTAGTCTTAACATTCTTTAATAATATTTTTTATCTCAAATAGATTATAACTCTTTGAAATTGTATATTCAGTTTCATAAAGATATTTTCAATAGTTTTTAAGATGTTAATTTAAAACCACACAAAAAACAAAATGGCGGATACTCGCTAACAAGGTATTTTTGGGAAATAATATTCTCGGTTTTAGTTTCATTTTGACCCATTAAACCTACTCCTAAATTGTTGGCACTTACTTCCTGAAGAAAGCATAGTATAAATTATAAGTGGAAAATAATTTAATGACAAACAAATCAAAACTCCTCATAAGTAATTATTATATTATTTATAGTAGTGCAGGCATGAAATACATAATTTCTCAAATACAAAAGTGTATTCAACTCTATATTAAATATTTTGTACTCCAGGAAATGCTGTGCTCTATAAAATTCCTCCAAAATAGCCAATAAGTTTCACTATTGTATGACTGCTAACAAAAGAAGGTACAATAACAAAAGACTTTCTCTTGACAAAGAATAATTCTAAAAAAACAGTTTCTTTGATTTCAAAAAAGAAAATTTTGAACAGAACTTTAAAGAAGACACAATTTTTAAACTGAAACATTTAAGTTGGCCTACATTGTGCTAAAATGTCAAATAATGAGTATTACACATTTGAAATTTTAAAACCTGCTGTGCATGCAGGGTGTCCCATAAGTAAACCACAAATCTCCGGAAAATTTATGTGCGTTAAGGTCTCCGGCTTAAAGCTTGACTAGCTTAAGGCATGGTTGTTCAGGATGCACCTCATTTTGCCTTACTCTACGACTGAAAAACGTCATATTTTCAGTTAGACTATATCATATTCAATTTTGTTGAACTTGGCGTCATTCGATAGGAAGTTTTTAATGCTAAACAAAAGAGTGTTTGACACCTTTTTATAAAATTGGCCACTTAGTAATTGAAGTTATACAAATTAAAATAATCACCATTTTGAAATGTCAAATTGGACCAAATTATTTTTTTCAACATAGATTTTTCTTAACTTTATAGTACATACCAAGTTTTATTATGATTAGTTGAAAAGTTTTAAAATAAAAAAAATATGTAAAAAAACAAAAACACAGTTTAATTGTTTAGCGTTAATGGGAAAAATTAAATTCTTGATTTTCACTTTATTTTGACCCAAAAAATCATTTTCCTGAGTTTGGCTGTTTACTTAAGGGACACTGTGAGTGTCGTTTTTAAATTGTAATTAAGAGTCTTTGGAGGCTAGCAGCCATCTTAGATTAATTCCAAACAGCAGTTGAAGAGTTATTTATCATCACAAAATATTTTTATTCAAATACCAAATGATTGTAATTAAAATATCTAGGGCACTATGAGATTAGAAATATTCTTTGTAGTTTTGTATGTGTTATATTAGTTAGTAGGGGTAGGCTCCAAGGACTCTTAACATCACTGATACAAAATGTATAGCAATGATGGGCCCCCCAATAAAGCCAACAAACAATACCACAGGCAAATGACTGTGATGAAGATTAAAAAATAAAAAGGCGAAAAGTATAAAAGAAATCTTCCAATATTATTGGTAAAATATATGACAACTATGGCCATACAGTAATAAGTTTTGTGATGCTATGATAATAATACTCCATTAAAATCTCTAATTCAAAAAAGCTCTTTACAAAATATATTACTAGTAAAATAACAGGTCCAGAAAAGAGTAGAAGTAATATTGGTACTCAAGATCACAGCCAAAGTTAATCAATTCAAAGCCGGAGGAGGCATTGGGGGTCTGCCATCATCACCCTGTAACAAACAGTAGTAGTAACAAGTGAGTAGGGTACACAGGATCACAGACTGAAACTAGAGGTGTGCCAAACATTAGAGGTCTGCTATCATCATCCTGTAACAAACGGTAGTAGTGACAAGTGAGTAGGGTACACACAATCACAGACTGAAACTAGAGGTGTGCCAAACATAAGAGGTCTGCTATCACCATCCTGTAACAAACAGTAGTAGTGACAAGTGAGTAGGGTACACACAATCACAGACTGAAACTAGAGGTGTGCCAAACATAAGAGGTCTGCTATCACCATCCTGTAACAAACAGTAGTAGTGACAAGTGAGTAAGGTACACAAGATCATAGCCAGAAACTAGAGGTGTGCCAAACATTAGAGGTCTGCTATCACCATCCTGTAACAAACAGTAGTAGTGACAAATGAGTAGGGTAAACAAGATCACAGATTGAAACTGGTCTGCTATCACCATCCTGTAACAAACAGTAGTAGTGACAAGTGAGTAGGGTACACAAGATCACAGACTGAAACTAGAGGTGTGCCAAACATTAGAGGTCCGCTATCATCATCCTGTAACAAACGGTAGTAGTGACAAGTGAGTAGGGTACACACGATCACAGACTGAAACTAGAGGTGTGCCAAACATTAGAGGTCTGCTATCATCATCCTGTAACAAACGGTAGTAGTGACAAGTGAGTAGGGTACACACGATCACAGACTGAAACTAGAGGTGTGCCAAACATTAGAGGTCCGCTATCACCATCCTGTAACAAACAGTAGTAGTAACAAGTGAGTAGGGTACACAGGATCACAGACTGAAACTAGAGGTGTGCCAAACATTAGAGGTCCGCTATCACCATCCTGTAACAAACAGTAGTAGTAACAAGTGAGTAGGGTACACACGATCACAGACTGAAACTAGAGGTGTGCCAAACATTAGAGGTCCGCTATCACCATCCTGTAACAAACAGTAGTAGTAACAAGTGAGTAGGGTACACAGGATCACAGACTGAAACTAGAGGTGTGCCAAACATTAGAGGTCTGCTATCATCATCCTGTAACAAACGGTAGTAGTGACAAGTGAGTAGGGTACACACGATCACAGACTGAAACTAGAGGTGTGCCAAACATTAGAGGTCTGCTATCACCATCCTGTAACAAACAGTAGTAGTGACAAGTGAGTAAGGTACACAAGATCATAGCCTGAAACTAGAGGTGTGCCAAACATTAGAGGTCTGCTATCACCATCCTGTAACAAACAGTAGTAGTGACAAATGAGTAGGGTACACAAGATCACAGACTAAAACTGGTCTGCTATCACCATCCTGTAACAAACAGTAGTAGTGACAAATGAGTAGGGTACACTAGATCACAGACTGAAACTAGAGGTGTGCCAAACATTAGAGGTCCGCTATCACCATCCTGTAACGAACAGAAGTAGTGACAAGTGAGTAGGGTACACAAGATCACAGACTGAAACTAGAGGTGTGCCAAACATTAGAGGTCTGCTATCACCATCCTGTAACAAACAGTAGTAGTGACAAGTGAGTAGGGTAAACAGGATCATAGACTGAAACTAGAGGTGTGCCAAACATTAGAGGTCCGCTATCACCATCCTGTAACGAACAGAAGTAGTGACAAGTGAGTAGGGTACACAAGATCACAGACTGAAACTAGAGGTGTGCCAAACATTAGAGGTCTGCTATCACCATCCTGTAACAAACAGAAGTAGTGACAAGTGAGTAGGGTACACAAGATCACAGACTGAAACTAGAGGTGTGCCAAACATTAGAGCTCTGCTATCACCATCCTGTAACAAACAGTAGTAGTGACAAGTGAGTAGGGTACACAAGATCATAGCCTGAAACTAGAGTTGTGCCAAATATTAGAGCTCTGCTATCACCATCCTGTAACAAACAGTAGGAGTGACAAGTGAGTAAGGTACACAAGATCGCAGACTGAAACTAGAGGTGTGCCAAACATTAAAGCTCTGCTATCACCATCCTGTAACAAACGGTAGTAGTGACAAGTGAGTAAGGTACACAAGATCGCAGACTGAAACTAGAGGTGTGCCAAACATTAGAGCTCTGCTATCACCATCCTGTAACAAACAGTAGTAGTGACAAGTGAGTAGGGCACACAAGATCATAGCCTGAAACTAGAGTTGTGCCAAATATTAGAGGCCTGCTATCATCATCCTGTAACAAACAATAGTAGTGACAAGTAAGTAGGGCACACAAGATCATAGCCTGAAACTAGAGTTGTGCCAAATATTAGAGCTCTGCTATCACCATCCTGTAACAAACAGTAGTAGTGACAAGTGAGTAAGGTACACAAGATCGCAGACTGAAACTAGAGGTGTGCCAAACATTAGAGCTCTGCTATCACCATCCTTTAACAAACGGTAGTAGTGACAAGTGAGTAAGGTACACAAGATCGCAGACTGAAACTAGAGGTGTGCCAAACATTAGAGCTCTGCTATCACCATCCTGTAACAAACAGAAGTAGTGACAAGTGAGTAGGGTACACAAGATCACAGACTGAAACTAGAGGTGTGCCAAACATTAGAGCTCTGCTATCACCATCCTGTAACAAACAGTAGTAGTAACAAGTGAGTAGGGTACACACGATCACAGACTGAAACTAGAGGTGTGCCAAACATTAGAGGTCCGCTATCACCATCCTGTAACAAACAGTAGTAGTAACAAGTGAGTAGGGTACACAGGATCACAGACTGAAACTAGAGGTGTGCCAAACATTAGAGGTCTGCTATCATCATCCTGTAACAAACGGTAGTAGTGACAAGTGAGTAGGGTACACACGATCACAGACTGAAACTAGAGGTGTGCCAAACATTAGAGGTCTGCTATCACCATCCTGTAACAAACAGTAGTAGTGACAAGTGAGTAAGGTACACAAGATCATAGCCTGAAACTAGAGGTGTGCCAAACATTAGAGGTCTGCTATCACCATCCTGTAACAAACAGTAGTAGTGACAAATGAGTAGGGTACACAAGATCACAGACTAAAACTGGTCTGCTATCACCATCCTGTAACAAACAGTAGTAGTGACAAGTGAGTAGGGTACACAAGATCACAGACTGAAACTAGAGGTGTGCCAAACATTAGAGGTCCGCTATCACCATCCTGTAACGAACAGAAGTAGTGACAAGTGAGTAGGGTACACAAGATCACAGACTGAAACTAGAGGTGTGCCAAACATTAGAGGTCTGCTATCACCATCCTGTAACAAACAGTAGTAGTGACAAGTGAGTAGGGTACACAGGATCATAGACTGAAACTAGAGGTGTGCCAAACATTAGAGGTCCGCTATCACCATCCTGTAACGAACAGAAGTAGTGACAAGTGAGTAGGGTACACAAGATCACAGACTGAAACTAGAGGTGTGCCAAACATTAGAGGTCTGCTATCACCATCCTGTAACAAACAGAAGTAGTGACAAGTGAGTAGGGTACACAAGATCACAGACTGAAACTAGAGGTGTGCCAAACATTAGAGCTCTGCTATCACCATCCTGTAACAAACAGTAGTAGTGACAAGTGAGTAGGGTACACAAGATCATAGCCTGAAACTAGAGTTGTGCCAAATATTAGAGCTCTGCTATCACCATCCTGTAACAAACAGTAGTAGTGACAAGTGAGTAAGGTACACAAGATCGCAGACTGAAACTAGAGGTGTGCCAAACATTAGAGCTCTGCTATCACCATCCTGTAACAAACGGTAGTAGTGACAAGTGAGTAAGGTACACAAGATCGCAGACTGAAACTAGAGGTGTGCCAAACATTAGAGCTCTGCTATCACCATCCTGTAACAAACAGAAGTAGTGACAAGTGAGTAGGGTACACAAGATCACAGACTGAAACTAGAGGTGTGCCAAACATTAGAGCTCTGCTATCACCATCCTGTAACAAACAGTAGTAGTGACAAGTGAGTAGGGCACACAAGATCATAGCCTGAAACTAGAGTTGTGCCAAATATTAGAGGCCTGCTATCATCATCCTGTAACAAACAATAGTATTGACAAGTAAGTAGGGCACACAAGATCATAGCCTGAAACTAGAGTTGTGCCAAATATTAGAGGCCTGCTATCATCATCCTGTAACAAACAGGAGTGGTGACAAGTGAGTAGGGTACACAAGATCATAGCCTGAATCTAGAGGTGTGCTAAACATTAGAGCTCTGCTATCACCATCCTGTAACAAACGGTAGTAGTGACAAGTGAGTAAGGTACACAAGATCGCAGACTGAAACTAGAGGTGTGCCAAACTTTAGAGGTCTGCTATCATTATCCTGTAATAAACAGTAGTGAGTAGGGCACACAAGATCATAGCATAGATAAAACATACTCTTAGATTTCTCATCCTTATGGAACAGCTGAGGACAATTTTATTGTTAGTTCTGTACGGTTTATGTAGAGGTCGTGTTTTGTTTACAATTAGTTTCCTGTTATTATAGTAATTTAAAACCTTGTTAAACCAAATAATACGATCTAATTATAAACAATAACTTGTCCCCTAGATATATAACCAAAGAGTAAAGTAGAAATCAAGAAATTTACTCTAAAATAGTATAATCAAAATTTTGTCGACACAGCGCCCGTGTCACCGTACATGAACGAGACACAAAAACGTGATTCAAAATTTACGATGGGATGAGAAGTCTACTTGTGTTGGTTAGTCTATGATCATAGCCTGAAACAAGAGGTGCGCCAAACATTAGAGGTCTACTATTATCATCCTGTAACAAACAATAGTAGTGACAAGTAAGTAGGGCACACAAGATCATAGCCTGAAACTAGAGTTGTGCCAAATATTAGAGGCCTGCTATCATCATCCTGTAACAAACAATAGTAGTGACAAGTAAGTAGGGCACACAAGATCATAGCCTGAAACTAGAGTTGTGCCAAATATTAGAGGCCTGCTATCATCATCCTGTAACAAACAGGAGTAGTGACAAGTGAGTAGGGTACACAAGATCATAGCCTGAATCTAGAGGTGTGCCAAACATTAGAGGTCTGCTATCATCATCCTGTAATAAACAGTAGTGAGTAGGGCACACAAGATCATAGCATAGACAAAACATACTCTCTTAGTAGATTTCTCATCCTTATGGAACAGCTGAGGACAATTTTATTGTTAGTTCTGTACGGTTTATGTAGAGGTCGTGTTTTGTTTACAATTAGTTTCCCGTTATTATAGTAATTTAAAACCTTGTTTAACCAAATAATACGATCTAATCATAAACAATAACTTGTCCCCTAGATATATAACCAAAGAGTAAAGCAGTAATCAAGAAATTAACCCTAAAATAATATAAACAAAATTTTGTTGTCACAGCGCCCAGTGTCACCGTACATGAACTAGACACGAAAACGTGCTTCAAAATTTACGATGGGATGAGAAGTCTACTTGTGTTGGTTAGTCTATGATCATAGCCTGAAACTAGAGGTGTGCCAAACATTAGAGATCTGCTATCATCATCCTGTAACGAACAGTAGTGGTGAGTGACAAGTGAGTAGGGCAAACAAGCTCATAGCCTGATACTAGAAGTGTGCCAAACATTAGAGGTCTGCTATCATCGTCCTGTAACGAACAGTAGTGGTGAGTGACAAGTGAGTAGGGCAAACAAGATCATAGCCTGAAACTAGAGGTGTGCCAAACATTAGATGTCTGCTATCATCATCCTGTAACGAACAGTAGTGGTGAGTGACAAGTGAGTAGGGCAAACAAGATCATAGCCTGAAACTAGAGGTGTGCCAAACATTAGAGGTCTGCTATCATCATCCTGTAACGAACAGTAGTGGTGAGTGACAAGTGAGTAGGGCAAACAAGATCATAGCCTGAATCTAGAGGTGTGCCAAACATTAGAGGTCTGCTATCATCATCCTGTAACAAACAGTAGTGGTGAGTGACAAGTGAGTAGGGCAAACAAGCTCATAGCCTGAAACTAGAAGTGTGCCAATGCCAAACCTTAGAGGTCTGCTATCATCATCATTAAAAAGAAATTGCAAAATCTTTTTTTTTAGGGTATAAAATGGGAAAACCCCATTTTTACCCCATAAAACCCCCCATACCTGAAATAGCTCTGTGTCAATACTGTAGTAGTATTGAGATTTAGCAAAAACTACTTCAATCAGCATGTTTCTTTATTAACCAATTGCTTTAATACTAAGTCTATAAAAATGGTCAGATTAACCTGAAGGTTTGTGCTTAACCTAGAATATTTAAACATGCTATTAATTTGTAAACCCATTTTTTCTATAATTCGAAGTATTATATGAGGCTCCAAACAAGCAAATATTAAATGGTATGGGGATTGTGCCTTACCAATATGATAACATGTATTTGCTATGCAGAAAAGAAGATTACTATGTATTTATTAATCCAAAATATTATCAATCTGATATTTTCAAAAGTAATAACCTCATTATTGCGAAAATCTGCATCAGTCTTGTTGCGTAAGCTTCGAGGTCGCATCAGGAACATGATGACAGCAAAGGCAATCCAGGCCATCAGCATCATCATCATTCCACCTTCTGGGGAAGTCTGGGATCCAGGCAATCTCGGCACTATACACACAACTCATTACATGAACAGCTCCCAAATGTACAATGTTAAAGAATTGAGGATAATTTTAAGCACTAAGAAAACCTTAGGTAGGGAAAATATTACTCAATTGGTCAGTAATTTATTGCATAATTAACACGACATTTTTTTTTTACGTGATCTTTTTACACGACTGCGACAGTGGAGCGGTTTGACTAAAACTTCAGCCATTTACCAAACAAAGAGGGAAGTTGTCTGCTTTAAAAGATTGTTTGGATTTGAGTTTTTTAAACATACAAAACCTCTGTTTAGTTAACATCAGCAATCAACAATGGACTGGCACACATTTAAAATGTAACTGGCTTAAAAATTCTCAAGATTGAGTTTACAGAACCTCTCTTGCAGGTGCCAACCCCTCTTCTATCTTATTATTGTGTGCATTTAAAACTAGGAGTACGCTGTGAAGTCACTTATGAGGATGAATAAAGACAATTCCATGAATACGAAAATTTTTTTCTTAATAGTAACTGTATTCTTTCAAGAGGAACAGTTTCCCAAGCAGTTTTCATATAATTTAAGCACTAAGTTTGATCAAATTCAAAATTATTTCACTAAAAGGAGTCCTAACTGTACTTTGAGCCATCAGGCAGGACCATGAATCAGGGAATTCAGTTTATGATAAGACAACCTTATTCAAATGTCATAAGGCATGTTGTAGAAAATCTGCAATAAAACAGGTAAACCTAAGACTAAGGCTTCAAGTTAGAAAAACTGTTATTAAAACCGGTTATCTTAAATGGAGAATCACCCAGGTTTGTTCCGATAGCCATTCTTTATCTCCCCTCTTACGCAAAGGAAAAACCTGGGAAGGGATCAAGAGGGAAGCAACCAACAGGGTCCGGTGGAGAGGAACAGTCGAGGCCCTATGCTCCAGGAGGAGTCAACGGGATTAAGTCAAGTAAGTCAGTTAATGGAGAAACTCTGAACTAGTTCACAATGCAATTACAAATCATACTTGACAAGCGTTCTCTACGTCATTTAACTTTTAGTTGCCTGTCCGACATGGGTGGAGTTAGAGGTAATTTGTTTTTGTGATGGGAGGGAGAGCATGGAAAACTCCCCTGATGAAAGGGAGGTCGGGAAAAATGTGTTATTTTAATATTTAAAAACCCAAGTTTTGGCCATTTTTTAAATAACTTCTTAATCAGCAATGTTCTTAATGTGTTTTTAATTTTACGGGGAGTAAATAAAAAGAAGTCTAATAACACTTGAAACATATTAACTAGACGGTCAATTTACATGAATGAATGAATGAATGAATGAATGAATGAATGAATGAATGAATGAAAACAGTGCTTTATTAAACAAAAAATAATCCTTACAAACCTAGGCTCCTCGCAGCAAGCCACAATGTCTTACACTGTAATGGTTCATAGTCTACGTGGTTGGCATACATTTTTTTTTACAGTACATTTTAAATTTAAAACTATAAATTCAATTCTGGACTAAAATCAAAAGTGAAAAGTCTGAAATCAAAATGTTTACTTAAAGCGAATGAAACTAAAAAAAAAAAAATTGCTGGCTCACAACCCAATATATGTTTTATATATATACTAGTTGCTCTGCCCGTGCTTCGCTACGGGATGAGAATGCAGAAAAGAATAATTTGGTTTTACTTTAAGATACTGTAATGTACTATAAGAAACAGATACAACACACTTACCAGGAAACATATAGGAAAAGGCTCAATCGTACTTATTGATTATTTAAATGAATATCTCTTAATGTATTACAGTACCATTATTTTATATAGTGAATATCATTTAAAATATATGCAAAAGTATAATTCATTGACCAGATGGCACCAAGAAACAATTCTTCTTCTTCTTGTAAACAAATGAAATTAAATAGCAGAACAGCATTTCTGACAACAGCTGGAGTTTCATAACAATTTTTGTTTCCCATGTTAATCTTATGGAGAAATACGTAACTTTAAAGGGCCCCAGGGCCTCACTCTCTAATTATTTCCCTGAAAAGAAAGTTTCCTGCACAACTTGACGTTACACTCTTTCCAATGACACCAAAAACATGTCAATCGGTTCAGTAGCTTCGGAGGAGTAATTGTCACAAAAATCCTGCTTGCGTATTAAATAAGTATAGATATATTAACACCATATAGCCCGATACATATCACTTCATAATAGCAATTTAACACGTTCGCTACCAAACGTTGCATGTATGCGACGCTGTGATCATTTTTACAATTTAATCTTACACATAGACTGGCTGTCACTTGGTTAACAGTAGGTAACACAGGCCACAGGTGAAAACCTGTTAAACAGTGATCATTTACTTTGAAATACTCTGCAATCTTGTTTGTAAACAACGTATTCTTGTTTTTATTTATTTTTTTTTTATAACCTTTTGTAATGTTGCATATTTGCGACACCCTGTCTATAGCGAAGACAATAGTGTAAATTATTATATTTTTCTTGAAATAGCCCAAACGCCGCATACATGAGACAATTATTTTTTGTTTATGATTTTAAGTAAAAGTAAGTAAATAAAAGCAGATTTTTCAAGAACAGTTTATAATTTTACAAATATAAAAGCTACATAGAATAATGCAGCATACATACATACAGTGATGCAGCAAAGTAAAGAACTGTTTTACCAACTATCATATGATGTCACCAATCAGAAATCAGAAAAGTTTTATTGTCCTTCAACATTTACAACAAATGCAATAGACAAAGGTCAAGAAAATTCAGCTATTACATAAACAGCCTATTTTTTAGGCAAAACAAAACAAGCCTAAAAACAAGTCAAAATAGGCTTTACATGCAATCATCATATCCACAAACCAAGCGACGCAGTTGTGCGACAGACATCCCTGTAGACCACTGCAGAGAATTCAGTGCCTTCAAATAGACCGTAACAAAGATATAAGCGTTTTGATAACATTGGAACACCGACGCAAATATGCGACGTCAGTCTATATTAATGTGACAGTCTATGGGTAGAAACCAGCCGTCACATATTTGCGTCGCTGGTCCATATGAATGAAAAATGTAGTACTATAACGGTAGCGAACAAGTTAACCTTTATATTTTTATTCAAGTTAAATATTGTAATGTTAGTTGTGAAAAAAGTGATAAAATATATCGGATTTTGGAGTGACGAAGTGACGCAGGTTGCTAGTAAACATAAATAAGCTTATAGCAAAATTAAAATCATATAGGTATTTTAGGCTATTAAAAACTTACATTCATCAAAGCATTCATTGTCGGTGCATACAGTCTGGGATTGTCTCAACTGGAAAAATCAAACAAAAACAACTGAAAAACAGTTGAAACTTATAGAATGTAGTTAAACAATTTTAGGTGTTACAAACTTATGTTGGCCTCTGAATCACATTGAACATGTTGTAAATCATCTACATTGCAGGGAAAATCTATGCGTATTGTTAGAAAATTTTCCTGTAGATGTGCAGAATCCCTTTATAAATTAAAATAGGCTCACAAATAAGCACAAAAAATGAATTTAAAATTTTATAAAACTTAACAATGGCCTTGTGGGTTACCATGCTGGTGACGAAATAACAAAGAAATATACAGGGTGTTTGTGAACTCTCTCGAAAAAATTCACAGGATTATTCCTTGGGTTAATATATGAATATTTTACATTATAAACATGGGTCGCCGGAGCCTCGTTTTCTGTCTGTCTGTCTGTATGTGTTTTTTATAAATAACTTTATAACTCGAGTTTGAATCGAGGTACAAACTTTAAATTTGACACACTTGTGTATTTTACCGTGTTACACAAACATGCAAAATTTCATTTCGTTGACTATAGCCGTTTCAAAATGGCGGCCATCTAAAATCTTTGACCTCAAATTGCATTAAAACCACTAGAGTTACAAAAAAAACACAAGAATAACAAAATGTGGAAAATTTTATGCCAAATCAAATGACATCTAGATCGTAAAGATCGGACAACAAACAGCTGAGTTATAAACTTTAAAAAAATTAATAATTTCTTTACTGGCTTTTAATTGTTATTGTTTATTCTTTAAAATCATCTGATCCTTTCTAAATTGTCACAACAATGTAAGACAGCTGATTGGACATATGATTTTGAGATGATGATCACATGATTATTTTGAGTTATTAATTTTTTTAATAATTAATAATTTCTTTACTGGATTTTAATTGTTATTGTCTATTCTTTAAAATCATCTGATCATTTCTAAATTGTTACAACAATGTAAGACAGCTGGTTTGCCCTAACAACAACGTTTAGTTTTTTACTAGATGGTAAATGTATTAAGTGTCCTATTTTTACCTTAACTATTGAAATCTGTTTAAGGTTACGTAATGTACTCTGTATCAGATGATTTTAAAGAATAAACAATAACAATTAAAAGCCAGTAAAGAAATTATTAATTATTTAAAAAGTTTATAACTCAGCTGTTTGTTGTCCGATCTTTAAGATCTAGGTGTCATTTGATTTGGCATAAAATTTCCCACATTTTGTTATTCTTGTGTTTTTTTTTGTAACTCTAGTGGTTTTCATGTAATTTGAGGTCAAAGATTTTAGATGGCCGCCACTTTGAAACGGCTACAGTCAACGAAATGAAATTTTGCATGTTTGTTTAACACGGTAAAATACACAAGTGTGTCAAATTTAAAGTGTGTACCTCGATTCAAACTCGAGTTATAAAGTTATTTATAAAAAACACATACCGACAGACAGACAGAAAACGAGGCTCCGGCGACCCATGTTTATAATGTAAAATATTCATGTATTAACCCAAGGAATAATCCTGTGAATTTTTTCGAGAGAGTTCACAAACACCCTGTATAGGCCTACAGAAAATCAAAACAAATAGAAAAAATTCCAATCACATGTTTTATTTACAACATGGGTGAAAATATAGAAGTCTGTACATTACATATCTTTGGTAGAGTTTTCAACCACTGGACGACCTCTAGTATATATTAAATCGTTACAGGGTTATTTTTATTTCACGATTCTGAATCAACCACTTGACGGATTTTAATGATTTTTGTGTTGAAAGAAAGATAATTTTGAGGAATACAGAATGTCAAAGCTATAATTCTAGTTTAGGGTGCCAGTTTTTAAGAAATTAAGTTTCAACTTTTTAAAAGCCTTGCAGCTGAAGCTAACATTCTACACTAGCTTTTGGTATAATACCATTTGCTTAACGTAACAGCTGTAAACATTCAGCGTTTGTGACACAAATTCAGCATTTGGATAAAAATCAAATGACATACGTAAGGTTGACTTATTTATACTATGTGTTATGCTATAATCATTAGTACTTTAATACTTTCTTATGAAATGGCGACCATACAATGTAGGTATTTTAAGCCAAGTATGAATGGAGATGAGTGTAGGATGAGTGGCGCTATCTTGTAGACTTGTTAGTGACTAAGGCCGACATTCCTTAGACACAGCTGTTTATTAATAGCCCAAACAGCTAATGGCAACTAATGTCATTGATACGTTCGTTAAATTTATTCGGTAATAGGATGAAAGATAAAATACTAGATGTTCTATTATATTTCATAGAGCAGTGCAATATAATTTGTTTTAACTTACAGTTGGATTGATATAAAAATATTTGATAAAACTATGAGATTATTTATTTAGTCTATAATTATGTCATTGATTAAATAAGATTTGTATAGATGAGTAGACAACAGAGATAAGTAAGACCATTGATGTATACGAATTGAGGCTCTGCTCACAAATCTTCAAAGAAAAGCCCACGCAAATTGTTTCACTGCTATAATTTTTTAGGTTAGAGTAAGAAAATAACAATGTTTACGAGGCGGTTCACGAGTACGGGGTTTCGTGGCCCGCGGTTATCGTTGATCTAGGCCAATTTCAACCGACGGCCAAAAAATGGGTTCACGACATAGAGCGTTTGCTGAGATCAAGCTTGGCCGAGACCAACGCTGGCCGTCGCTCAACAGCAGGGATTTTACGGGGAACTTTCGTTATAAGGCAGTCAACAGCCACATGGGCTATCTGTTGGGCCGCTACTCGCGGTCGACGAGTCCCAAAACAATAGGATGACGTGATTTATACAGGGTGTTTACTGATATTGTATAAAAGGTTGTGAACTTGCACTTAAATTCATTTTATACTGAAGTTTAAAGTTACTGGATTAATCATTGAATTATGAAATGAATAATGCACTTTTACTGACATGTCATTGAATCGGGAAAATACAATTATTATATTTTTTATTTTTTATTTTTTTAAATTTTTTTTTACAAAAAATAATGTTTGCAAACTAAATTTAGATCACCAATTATGTTCAAATATAAGACATACTTATCAGATTTGCAGTATTTATCGAAACTGTTGTAAGAAAGACTTAGTAAACCAAAAGTATGGCTTTTATTCATTCAAAATTACAACCATGTTTTAGTTAAGAACAAATACAATATTTACAAACAAATCAAATAATAAATATTATCAGGTGATAATGTTCACATCACCACATTCTCCCCCACTAGTTTTCAAGGTAGGTATAGCATATGTAATCCTTTAGATATGACGGAGGCTTGACATTCCTCTTTGGACGTAGTTCCCCCACAGCCGTCTCTGAAGTTGGGGTCTGAGATACCATTTGTTGAGTTTCATTTTGAACTTCATTGTGGTCAATGTCTGAATTTATATTTTCAACAATCTCTCTCTCAGTAGTGTTGTCTTCATGAGGTAGATCACCAGGAGGTAGGCTAGCGGGTGCAAGATGTCTCAGGGATACTTGTGATTCTGACCCATCTCTTCTTCTGACGAGAGCGTACTGTGGATTTGATTCCAAAAGTTGAACTGGCTCCACAAGGTCATCATATTTATTAGATCTTACAAACTTTCTAAGCAGGACAGGACCAGGAGCGGATAGCCAAGATGGTAAGGAGTCTCCATTGGTAGATCTTCTACTATGTATAAAGAATCTTTCGTGCGGTGTGCAGTTTGTCGCAGTGCATAAAAGAGATCTGACTGAGTGAAGAAGTGCCTCCTGTAATACTTCTTCCCATGCAGCAACTGGCAGGTTGTGGTTTTTCAAAGCTAGTAGGATGGTTCGCCATATTGTTCCATTGAAGCGTTCAATCTGAGAGTTCCCTCTAGGGTTATAAGGTGTCGTATGACTTGTAGCTACTCCGTACTTGTGAAGAAAGTCCGTCAGCTCTCGCGACATGAAAGATGAACCTCTATCTGAATGTACAAAGGACGGGGCTCCAAACATAAAAAATAGATCTGAAAAACATCTGATAACTGTTGCTGAACTAATGTCCTTACAGGGGTAAGCAAATACAAAACGAGAATACTCGTCCACCATGGTTAAAAGGTAACGGTTTCTGGTTGTTGATGGAAGAGGGCCCTTAAAGTCAATATTTAGACGTTCGAAGGGAGTGGTTGCCTTTATCAATTTGCCTTGGAATTGGTGAAATCTTGGCTTCACTTCTGCACATGTTTGACAAGCTGACGTAATCCTTTTTACATCATCCAGAGTGTAGTTTAGATTTTTAGTTTTAATCCAATGAAACATTCGAGTGACTCCCGGATGGCAGAGAGATTTGTGTAATTCAAACAACTTAGCATTGTCCCAGCGAACCACACATGCCCGAGAGAGCGTATCTGCTTTTACATTCTCCCTACCAGGTCGGTACACTATTTCATATTGATAAGGTGTTAGCTCTAGTCGCCATCTCATAACTTTATCGTTCTTGATTTTGCTTGTATGCCTCTTGTCAAAGATAAATGATAAAGCTTGCTGATCCGTGTATAATCTGAAGTCTCTTCCGATAAGAAATGATTTCCATTTTCAAAGGGCTTCGACAATGGCAACGGCTTCTTTTTCAACAGCTGAATACAGCTTCTCAGATTTGTTTAGAGTCCGTGAGAAAAAAGCAATTGGCTGATTATCTTGACTCAAAGTTGCTGCCACGGCTAAGTCAGATGCGTCAGTCTCCACTACCAGTGGCTCTTGCCCATTCCTAGGAGTTACTGAGTTTGCAATGTCAAGTTTGAGGGCTTCAAAATCTGCAACCGCTTCCTGTGACTAAGGAAAAGAATTGACTTGTGTCAGGTTTCTTATTTTATCAGAAAACCGATGTATCCATTTTGAATAGTGAGCGAAAAATCCTAGGACTCGCTTTAGTGAAACTTGGTCTTTGGGCACAGGAAGTGACAGTAGAGATTCTAGCCGATCTGGATCAGGTCGAATAGAGTTATGGGAAACTAAATGTCCCAACAAGGTTATTGAAGACTGGTTG